CTACCACTTAAATGAAGAACTCTGTGTGAAAACAAGGATTTCTTTTAACCTGAAGAAATCATTTCTTATGGAAAGAAATCGTGTATTTCACTCCTCTACTAAGTACTTCAGGAATTGGGGCAGGTGAGGAGAAAGGTCTTGGCAATGGCAGTTTGATGAGAAATGAATTAATTCGATTATTTCCATGGTATGGATCAATAATAGCCTCCACAGAGGCCCCTGGCCCAAAGGCAGCTGGATAATCAATAGGATCACACAGAGGCTTCTCCTCCCCCAGCAGCCTCTCTGATCTTTTCTGGGCAGACTCTTCACGCCTGTGTAATTCTAATTTATGTCAACTGGAAATCAAAGAAATTCCAAGAGGCTTTGGTCATAGGACATTGGGTGAACCTTTCAAAATCTATTTATGTCTACTCCTTAGGTAATGTGGTCCCCACAGCCCTCCTGGTGCCTCTTGGGGCGAAGGAGAAGCCTCCCAGCATAAAGGCAGCTATCTGCTGCCAGCAAAGGCAGAGGAGAGCAGTTAGGTAAATCGAGGTACACTTTCTCTTTCCTATCTACAACTCTGCAGGGACAGAAGAACAAATGAGCATTTTAAGCAAAATGCGTTTCCAAGAGTGGCTCCCTCAATAATGCTCTTTAACGATACCCCAGACGCTGGCATTTTCAAATCAAATGAACAGTGTATAAAATTAGTTCTGCATGAAGTTAAGGAAAAAAAAAATAAAGTGAAAGGGAGCTTTTAAAAGCTCCAGCATTTCTCCATCCAACTGCTTTTCACAAGGGTTTGGCATTTGAGAATTGCTACATTTATGATGTTATTCGCTGCTCATAATTCAGGCCCTCTGTCTCCAAACTTCTGTATTAACACTCACTGCAGAGGTTTCCACCATGACATTTTATCACTGAGGTTTCTAGAACCAGCCAGGCAGCCTCTGGCGAGGTCTGGCTTCTCAGCCAGTGCCATGCCCCTGGGCTCCACCACCTTCTCACCAACCTCGAGCCCCCAAACATTTTTCATTAACCTTGAACATTGCATTTCCATTTGCCCTAAAGCTTTCCCATGAATTTTTCTGTCCTTCTCAGTTTTGTTCTCCATCCAACAGCCTTGTAAAGACATGAGGAAAATATCATACTATTAGAAGAAACAGATCTATATAGCACCTAGAATTCACTGAAGCTGCAAAAATGATTCCTATGACCAAAGCCCCTGACTGTCTTTAACTGTGGCAAGCAGAGTAAACCAACCTATTGCTCTTATTAGAGAATCCCATAGATTATACAAGAAGTTTTAACTAAACCACCAAAAAATGTGTGTTAAGTTGATAGGTGATTTCGGGTCAACTCTAATTCCCAAGGTCAAGTAAGCCTTTGAACAGTCTTTAAGGATATAAATTCACCCCAATTCATCAAAGCTGTCTCACACAGCGTTTTCTTCTCCTGGTCCTTACAATGCACTAAAGTTTAGGAGATTAAGTGGCGTCGGCTTCAAAACCCAAAGTAATGCCTCTAACATGCTTATCCATCCAGCAATCGGAAAAGCTACTCAACCCGGGGCTTCTGAATGCACTTCCTCCTTTTACAAATGCACAGGGAATGCTGCATTTGCCAAATGGCTGGAGGACTCCTCCCTGAGCCACCAGGGTCACAGCCAGATGAATGCACTGCAGTTTAGCTCAGACATGGTCTGATAATCCAAATACATGTTGTTTTCATCTGCAAAGAATATGTGTAATGTTTCTCATCTGTTCTTTGTTTACCCAGTGAGGGGGAGAGAAGGAAAACACTTTTTCCTACAACAAATACAATGAATTTTGTTATAATTCTTATAGTTCCTCAAAAGCTCAAGTGAGGAAAAAAGCTGAAGTTTGGTAGTGCTTCCAAATCAAAGATAAGTGGCCTCAAATGAGACTGACTGCATGTGAAAAAAAAATACAACTAGACTTCAGTATTTCTCAGACCCACAGGATCACAGAACATGAGCCTGGGACACACAGACTTTACACACCCATCTCTCCCCAGTGCAGTGATCCCACTGACAACAGTCTTGACAAGCGGGTTAATTGTGTAGACTACCGAGGGCCCTTGCTCCCTCCTCCAGCTCCAGCTGGTGCACAGAAAGGGGAAGAAGAAATAAAATTAGTGAGTTATTAGTGGTTAGCAGATTTAGTTAAGAGTGATAGGACCAAATTAATTTTGTTTTTTAATTCTTTGCTGGCACAGATGATCACAGTGAGGTAGATAGTGGATCTTTGTCTCCATATCCTTATCACAACTTCTCTGTGCTTCCTGTTTTGGTTCTTATTTTTCACCATCATTTTTCTTACTGCTTTCTTTTTATTTCCCTACCTTCAACTCACCCTTTTCTTCCATTGCAAGTCTTTCTTCATCCCTAGATCTGGTTAGTAAGTTGGTTATAAATACAGAGTGTCCTACAGAGGCAGTATTTTTCCTTTGTAAAGTGTGTAAGACAATGTAATTATTGACATCTTTGTATAGAAAATAATAATCGAGATTTTAAACCTAAGTAAGAAAAAGGTAAAAAGGTCTCATCTTCTCTAGTCTGAGTTTATTATTTTCCTTTTTTTGATTTCCTTTCAAAATGTGATAGTGGGCAATACAATTTTTTCTCATTTGGAAAATCCAATATCAAAATACAGATTAATATAATGACAACGATAAGGATAATCAGTAACACTAAGCACTTCATAAATAACAAACATTCTAAGGGCTTGATTATGTTCATTCATTTAAGTGCTCACAGCACTTCTACAAGATAGGTACTATTATTATTGTCTCCATTTTACAAACAAGGGAAGGAGGCACTGAGACATTAGATAACTGCTCAAGACGTCACAACGAAGTGCAGAGCCCAGATCTGAGCCTGAACTCTGGTTCCAGAATCCATACCTTCAACTACTGACCTCTTTTCTTTGCTACTCAAGTATTTCTTGAATCTTAATAAAAATTTTAAATCTTGAGATGGATAGCATAATACAAATGTTGAAAGCTGAATGGCTACTTACTCTAGACTTCCATCTAACTACATCAACAAGCAGGCTATTACACACAAGGCTTTACATTTTGTGTGCAGTTTGGAAACCTCTTCCATCCTCACAGAACCTGTTATGTCTGACTCTGGGCTGACTTCAGCCAAAGACGCAGGCAGCAAGGCTGGGCCAGCACCACCTACCCTGGGCTGTGCTGCATCTGGCTGAGGTCAGGCAGCATGTGCTGGGGCCAGTGGGCCCTCTGAGCCGCTCACTGGCTGCGTAATGGATTCAGAGGCTGCCTGAGGGAAGGGCTAAAACCTGCAGAATTACCACTAACCAGATAGCCACCCCATATAACTCTGGACTAATGTGCATTTGGGTAGAAAAGGATCCATTCCTTAGCTTAAAATAAGCAAAATGTTGGTCAGCAAATATGTCTGAAATAATTGTCTTCTGTACAGCTGAAACATACATTTCTACAACTCATCTCTGAAGGTGGAGCTGATCTCAACAATTCTAAAGAGTACAGACTAGAAATATGGTGATTTCCGAGAACAGCTATGGAAACAGACTCATTTTGAATGCGTACATTTGGGTGTCCTTGGCCTGACAGTACTCACGCAGCAGTTCCTACTCAAAGCTGAGGAGTCTGCTGTCACTATTTCAAGTTTCTAGAATACTCTTCCTACTGTGGACCCTTTAACTTTTTTTTAACAGAAGTGATTTAAAAATGACAGGGTTAGTAGCAGTATTAGGTTAGTTAGTGAACTTGGAGTAAGACTTGCAACTTCTGAGTCTCAGTGTTAGTAACAAAGTCAGCTTTCTAGGCTGGGCTGAGAACAATAATAAAATCTCTTTAAACATAACTAACTGGCAAAGGCCTCATATAAGTTGGAATTTTAAAGCATCTAGAGAAAAGAACCAGGTCAATTAACAAAAATGATAAAGCACACAGAGGATTTGGGCCATTCTTCTATTTGCCCCCATATTTGCTACATTTAGAAGACGCATGTCCTTGGAGAGGCATATATATTTAGTTTCACTTTCTTTTGCTAGATTTGTCACCATTTGCAAAAGTGGCACACATGTGTAAATTATACGATGCCAGCACTTTCTGAGTAAGTATCTGAGGTGCATCTTTTCCAAGGAAGGAGCCTGAAGACTGCCCCCAGGGTGTGCCTTGAGCCCTGGACACAGATGCCAAAGGCCTGGGGTAAAGTCTTGGAAAAGTGGCCTCAGACTTGGTCTTTCTGAGCCTCCATTTTCTCTCCTTTATAGTACAAATAACTATTGCTTAGACTTGTTATAGGGAAAACTAAGGGGAAAGCACCTTTTTAGTGCCTGGTGATCAATACAGATTTTTATCATCTTTCTTCTCAGTCTTCAAAGGGCCCCTTCAAAGGTGACACAATTCCTCAAAACTCATGCTCACATCTCTGGCCAGCTCACAGACCTTCAGCAGGATCTCTGGGACCATTTCTCCTCATGTGCTAAAAGTGGTATCTTAAATATGGAAAGAGGCAAATTCTCACACAATATCCCCTCATGGGCCCCTTTCTTGCCCACAAAATGGCCAGAACACACAGATGTTGAGCACTGAAATTGTACACATCAAATTGCAAAAAAACCACTTGGCACTGTTCTTTACTCTTTCCTGTTGCAGGAAACTTGGAACCCAGAACAGATTTTACTGTCAGATCCTGCATGTCGTAGTCGGCCATGCAAACATTTTAAGTTTGGGTCCATGGACTTCTGGATAGGAGGAATCTAAGTTGACTGTGCACGTGAGAGCTTTTTCTTTCTGCATAAGCACAAAATTCATTTTTAAACAGAGAAATGGAAAAGCAAACTCTATTAGTTTAGAAAAACAGGCATCTTATAATACATAGCTGTAATACTACATATTATATGCACGTACACATACATATATATAGGCAAAAGAAAATATAGCAGCAGGCTATTAACTAAACTGATTAATAGAAAACAAACTTGATAGGCAACTCTTACTTTATCGCATCTCATCAGCCCCAAGTATCTCAGGGATTTGCTGCTCTGCGCAATCAGAGTGGCTCCTTGGTCTGTGATTTCTTTACACCATCCAACATCCACAGTCTCTATTGTCATGCTGTGTCGCCCAATGGCTATCAGTGCTGTAAGGAAGGACCAAGAGAAAGCAAGCAAGCATGTTAGCAGTGCGAGGGATCACTTATCTTATTAGGACTATTTCTCTCATTTCCTCACTAAATTTGTTCCTGAACATTGTGTGTAAATGAATGTTTTGTAAATGAAATGAAATTTGAAATGCTTTTGGAAAGCTTGCTCTATGACAAACCCTTTTACAAAGTAAATAATCACTCCATAATTGCCCTTTCATTGAAACACAAACTCTTATCAGTTTTACTCATTACAAGGTTACCTGTACTTTCAAACCTTCATATCTGCAGAAGGAATAAGTTGAATTACACATATAACATTACAGAAACCCCAAGAAGAAACTAAACTCTACCTAAGATCATTTTAATAATTTTTTAGAAGAAAAATCCATGTAAACACCATTTTGAGGTGTGTTAAACCACATATGAATTTCTTTACCAGTTGGCATAATTTCTTCCATCTGCCCATCATGTGTAAAATATAAGAGCATGTAATATTTTTCTCATTAGTCTTCCTTGAGACTGTTAGGAATTAAGAGTACATTATACATATAGTTCAATTTAATTGGTGCCGTGCTAGAGTGCAGTAAAGGGAATGCATTTGTTCTGGTGAATTTCCTCACCATATCAGAAGTCTTCCTTCTATTTACATAAGATGAAGCTTGTTATATGAAACCTATGGCAGTATGTCTGGTCTTTTTGACTGTTTAGCACTGTACCACTATTCAAGCACGGATACTTATCCCATAATCTATGATATGCACTACTTATCACGGCTCCACACCCCTCACCCTGTCAGAGCCACCAATCCGTGAATGTGGCTCTTTGCTACGGACTTCTGATTTGATAGACAAGCACACCTCCACATTTGTGGAGCAGAAAAACACATTTCAGTACCTCCAGCCAAGTCTACGGTACATTGGTTTGTAAATGAAAACTCTGAAAACAATGCACACATATTAAAAAGGAAAGAAAAATTGTTTGCTAATTATTTCCTCATTCAAGATAGGGTGAGATGATTTCTGTGACATTAAAGGCGGATATTTTCCAATTGACTAGATTGATAAGAGCAGAGTGAATTACTCATGCAAAAAAATATTAACTCTTTCAGCTCATAGAAAATGATACTTGGCAAAATCTCTTGGCTAATTATCTCAGTAACTTTTTTTTTTAACTAGAAAACTCATACCCATGCATTCAAGTATCAAAGCACTCCTAAGTAGCCAGATATTTAAAATTTACAAAGATGAAATCATGAATCCAGTGTCTTCCAGTGAAAATGCTATAAAGGAAGAAAAGAATGTATTCCTGGAAGATCCTCATGTCACCAGTTTGTTCATGCTCCCTCATATTTGCACAGCTATTCTGGCATTTCCTTTTCAAAGGAGGTGGGGTGGGTGGGGGGAAATCTGTCAAAGGTTTCCTGAATGGTCTGAGGTATATTTTTGTGTAGTAGAAGCAATATCCCAGGTTAATCATGTTGGTGTCTCTGACCTAAGAAAAATGCTGTTATGTCTGGTTTTGTCATAACTTTCATTGGTTATGATATCCTGAGGAGCTCCTACGATAAATGAAGTATAAGAGACATAAAAGAAATTTCTTTCAATACAAAGTGCTCAAGCTGTGATTTCAAAAGATGACAATGCATAAGTTGCTGGATGGCCCCAGGTGGGTAGACTGCGTATTTTTATTGAGGTTTGAGGCTAAAATATGAAAGCCCCGCACACAGAGGAAGGTGAACCAACGCCCGGAGGAGCTTTCAGAGGCTGCTGTGTAAGCAAACGAGGTGTCGATAGATAGCTAGTGATCCTAAGTGCCAAAAACACTGGCATTTGGTATTTCCTGTTTTTTTCTTTCTTGTCCAAATTAGATTAAACAGTAAATAAGACAACTGAAGATAAGTCAGGGTATTGTTTTTGTTTTGACATAGTTCTATTTACTGAGGTAAGAATTAAACTTTATTATTCCCTAATTCATTCATTTAGTCAGCAAACACCTCATAAGCACCCACCCTAGAGCATTTTCTCCAGTATTTATTGACTATCCACATGCTAGGCCCTGGGCTGCGAATTTAGGTGTATTACCTCCTTTAATCCTACAGCAATCTTACAAAGTCTTAAAGTTATTTCCACTGAAAGATCAAGAACCTGAGCCCCAGAAAGGCTGAACAGCTTTCCCACAAACACAAGGTACTAGTGGGGGAGAGGGTAGTAAGCTGAGCTGGCTCTAAGCTCTGGCTGCACATCAGAGTTATGAAGTCAGAATCATGGGGTCGGGCACCAAGCAGCTTTAATATGCTACACTTCCAGCATTTGTGACTGTGGGGTGACACTGGGCCTGCGATGGGTGCTGGGGACAGAGAGAGGCACAGAGCTCAGAGGCTGGTTGAGCGGGATCGGAAGGGGCAGAGTCAGGTGGACATGACAAAGAGCCAAGTAAACAGGCACAATACAATGTTCATTTCCCACCTCTTTCCATCACTTTTTAGATCCCAAGTCAAAGGTCAGCTTCTCAGAACGGATACCCCATCATTTACTGCTTTTCAAGTGTTATTATTAATTTGTTTATTTAATTTACTTTTTTGTGGCCCATCTCCTCCATTACAATGACAGCTCATATTTACCACTGTATGCCCAGCATCCAGCTGTGCCTGATACAGAGTTGGTTCTTAAAAATATTAGTTGAACATGTCAATGGCTATAATGTGGTTGGCCTGTTATGGGGGCATGCCAAGGCCATGGGAGGCCCGGACTCTTCAGTGGAGGGGAGAGAACATGGGAGCCCTTCCAGGAGAGCTGAGCTAGGTCTTGAGGGATGAATAAGGATTCCCCAGGAAAACAAGGAGGGAGGGCAAGTATGTCAGGCTAAGGAAACAGCAACATACGTAAGGAGAGAGATGTAAAAGGACAGGGAGGGAAAACTACATGTCCTGGTGTGTGGCTGAAATAAAAACAGGTGGCAAGATTTATTCCTGAAATACTCATCCAATGACTAATGGCACTGGTTTAGGCATAAGAGATACAAAGAACAAGAAAAATAAGCACAGTCCTTGATGTCATGAAGCTTATGTTCTAGAACAGATAGATGTGAAACAAATAAACAACTTAGAAATAAATAAGTGGACAAAAGTATATATAACTCTGAACTGTAACAAATGTTCTTTAAGAAAGAGACTGATCATAGTATGAATAACATTTACACGGGGGGGCAGTGCACTGGGGAGAGTCTTTCCCATGGGGCTCCTTTTAATCCCTCCAATAGTCCTGCAAAACTGAGGTTAAACCCCCCACCAAGGCCCCATCCCTGGTTAAGTGTCAGAACCGGGGTGCACACTTTAATAGTTTGGTTCGCTCCAAAGGCAGTGCCCATTTTATTAGCACCAGCACCCAGGGTGGCAGAGGAGCCTGTGTACGTTCAGAATGTATTTCCCTTTACCACCGGTCAGGACTTAAACATTACAGTTTATAGGTAGCCAGGTATTTACCCTGGGACCCAACAGAACCTTTCAATTGCAAAATATACACTGAATCATTTACCTCTCTGTGACTACATCCTACCTATGCGTGTGTTTTCACTGTGGCCACGAGCTAGCTGTGAAACCTGTAGTGTAGTGTGGCTTCAACTTACTTCATTTCCAGCCCCACTGCTTAGCAGATGCCTGGCCTCAGGACAACACTGGACTTCCCTGAGTTCCGGCTTCCCCACCTGGACTGTGGGGATGCTGCTTCCATGTCCCACTGCCTTCACAGGGTTGGCTGGAGGTTCAAATGAGGTAATATATGCAAGAGACTTTGTACTACATACATGTCATGATTTATTTGGTATTTCCCCAAGCTATTCTAGAGTGGCGCAGCTGATAAAAAATGAAAAGATTTGAAAGAGTCATGAAAAATAAAAAGCTCTGGCAAATGAGAGCATTATACAAGGACTTCATCATACTGCTAGGGCTCTTGGACTGCCCCCTCTCCATCGATGATTGTGAACTTTGTAGACTGCTCCTGGGATGATAGGGCTGAAAATGAAATGTGTGATGACTGCCTTCACTAGGGGCTGTTGACACATTATACTGGTATTTAGTGAGCCTTGAAAAGGGATAAATTATGCAAGACTAATTCCTAATCCCAATGCAGTTTCAATATACTTTTTTTATGAACTAAGGGCAGTTAATAAGTGAAATTTTGATGTTACACAAATTAAAAGCTGAAGTTCAGTAACTTATATAATGATCAAGGTTATACATCAACCTGCTAAAAGGCTTTTCCATAGGTATACAAAGTGACTGAAAGACAGGAGAACATACATACTCAATTTTGAGTTAAGAAATACTTTTTCTAGGAACCCACCCTGAAAATATACTTCTAATAATACAAAACTACAAATACACAAGTTCATTCCATTGAAGCATTGGTTGTAATTGCAAAATAGTGGAAACAGCCTAAATGCCCACGCATAGGAGAGTGGTTAGATAAACTATGCAACAGTCTCGCTATCAAATACTACGCAGCTGTGAAAACATGAATGAGGGGAGATCACAGATTCCAAATCATTCGGTGAAAAAGCAAAGTGAATAAGATTTTATGCGGTGTGCTACTTCCATATAAAAGAGAATACAATAAAAAAAGGCATGAATCTGCTCACTTGTGAAAAAGGAGCAGAGGAACAATAAACAAGAGACTACAGAGGCTACTTAATTATAGGAGGTTGGTGGGGAAAGAGGAGGAAAGAGGTGGCACAAAAGGGGAAGTGGGTGAGGAGGGGCAGACATTTGCACTGTCTCTTTGGACAGAAGTTTGATTCTCTGAACCATGGCGATGTTTAACCCAGATGAGTAATATAAACACACTAAATGGAAAGGGAGTTAAGGATTAAGCCATGAAAAACATTATTTTGACTGGATATATGTAAGGTTAAAACCAAAAAGACCTGACAGCAAATACAGTAGCTAGTAAATCTATTTCTCACAGGCATGTGAGTTGCAATTCAGTAACTAAGTTATG